TGAGGTAGATATTTGCTCTTTTTGGCCAACTATCTCTAGGGCCCCTAGTTTTTCCGTCTCTCTCTTAAGTCAAAAAGGGTTGCTCGCTTTAGGCATTTGACTGCAAAATGTCAATATTTATTTTTATTTTTTAAATCAAATTAATTGATATATAACTCATACATGCAGAAAATTTACCCTTTTGAGGTTTACAGTTTGATCAATTTTGAGAAACTTATGTAATCATGTTGCTGCAACCACAATTGAGATATAGAATATTTCTATCACTGGCCGGGCTCATGCTTGTAATCCCAGCACTTTGGGAGGCCAAGGTGGGCAGATCACTTGAACCCACAAGTTTGAAACCAACCTGGCCAACATGGTGAAACCCCGTCTCTACTAAAAATACAAAAAATTACCCAGGTGTGGTGGCAGGTGCCGGTAATCCCAGCTATTCAGCAGGCTGAGTCAGGAGAATCATTTGAACCCAGGAGGTGGAGGTTGCAGTGAGCCAAGATTGTACCAGTGCACTCCAGCCTGGGCAACAAGAATGAAACTTTGTCTCAAAAAAAAAAAAGAGTATTTCTGTCACTCTTGTGGCTGTTTGTATCAGTACCTCTCCTAACCTCCAGTTCCTGGCAACCACTCATCTTATTTCTTTTCCTATAGTTGTACCTTTTTCAAAATACCATATAAATAGAATCATACTATATCTACATATCCTTTTGAGTCTGGCTTCATTCACTTACATAATGTCTTTGAGATTCATCCATATTGTTGCATGTATCTGTAGTTTGTTTTTTTTATTGCTGAGTAGTACTCCATTGTATGGAGATACACGATATTTATCTTTTCACCAGTTGAGGATAATTGGGTTGTTTCCAGACTTTGGTGAGTAGAATAAAGCTGCTATAAATACTTGCATACAAGTTTTTTGCAGATATATGTTTTCATTTCTCTTGGGTTTTACCTTACAGTGGGATTGCTGGGTTATTCAGGGTGTGTTAACTTTGTATGAAACTGCCAAATCACTTGTCAAAGTAGATGCATGCAGCATTTTGCATTTCTGTCCACAATGCATGAGAATTCTAGTTGCCCCAAGTCTTTGCTAGCATTTGGTATCTTCAGCTCTATTTTTTTTTTGTCATTTTCATTGCTGTTTAGTATAGATCTCATTTTCATTTTCATTTTATGACTCTGTTTTTTAAACTTTGATAAAATACAAGGCTGGGTTGTCTAAAAATACTTTAAGACCAGGCCACTTTAGTTTAATGAATATTGATCTGAAACTTGGAAGGTGGGCTGTCACCTTGCTCACTTGTCCCTACTCCCAGCACAGTGGGCTTAACCATTCTTTTTTTTTTTTCTTTTTCTTTTTTTTAATAGAGACAGGGTTTCACCATGTTGGCTGGGCTGGTCTCGAACTCCTGACCGCAGGTGATCCGCCTGCCTCGGCCTCCCAAAGTGCTGGGATTACAGGCGTGAGCCACCGTGCCTGGCTGGGCTTGAGCATTCTTAACCACCTAAATCAAAACCAACTATTGACCAGTAACCAAGGAAGGCCACTTGTCTTTTGTTTATTTGGAGGGAATCGAATATTTTTATGGAACTTATCTATGTTTTCAAAGCAAACTAGCAGTTACTCCATTTTAATGAAAATATAGCTTAAAAAATGGTGTCTTTTCTTTATATGTCTAAGAAGTTTGCAAGTTTTTCTTAAGCTTGCCACATCAAGATGAAATGATGTCAAATTTCTACTGATTTGCACAGGAAAACAATGAAGAGTCGTTATATGGAACTCTATGACCTTAATAGAGACTTGCTAAATGGTTATAAAATTCGCTGTAACAATCACACAGAACTGTTGGGAAACCTCAAAGCAGTAAATCAAGCAATTCAAAGAGCAGGTCGTCTGCGGGGTAAGTCTCTTTTCATAACACTGCACTTTTATGTTTAATGTTTTTGGTGGAACTTATTGAAGATGGTGGTAGCATTCAATAATTCATACTGGGGTTGAAAGTAGCATGCCTTTCACACTCCAGAGCTGGCACCAGTCACTGTGTTTCAGTCAGCCTGGTGTTTGGCTTTAGTCTCTAGACTTCAAAGGAAAAGAAAACCTGCAGCTCCTTTTCCTACATCTTCCTGCATCCTCTAAAGAAAAACCTACTATATATACCCCAAAGGAAATATATAAACATAAATATATGTTCGTCTAAGAAGTTCGCAATTATATATAAATATACATTTATGTTTATATGTTTCCTTTGGGGTATATCTAGTAGGTATCTATACTATATAGGTATATGTAGTACATATTTATGGTTTTATATATATAACCATCAAGGCCAAATTAGCAAAAAAGAGAATTAATGCTAAGTGTCTAACTTAAAAATTTAGAAAAAGAACAATAGGATAAACCCAAGGATGCAGAAATATAGCCAGAGATTTATACCTGAATTCTGCTGTTTTAGGTCAATGCTTTGACCTCTTTAGAAATTATCTTTGCCAGGTGAATATGAGCTTTGATCCTTTTCTATAAAACTGACGTTTGGTGTCTAGGTTTGAGTTGGTCTCTAAGTCAGTTTTTTAAATAAATTCCTTCACCAAGTTATCCTTTTTAGGGAGTGGTAAGATAAATTCGTTATATTTCACATATAACTCTTTTCTCTCCTGGTTTGATGTTGTTTTAAAACTGGCCTCTAATTTTATAATTTCATGTCTAATAATCTCTCACTTTCTGATGTTTCTTCTCATGCAGTTGGAAAACCAAAGAACCAGGTGATCACTGCTTGTCGGGATGCAATTCGAAGCAATAACATCAACACACTGTTCAGAATCATGCGAGGTGGGACAGCTTCTTCATAGGAGAGGAAAATACAGGTCATGAAGTTCCTGGAAAAGTTTTTCTGTTAAAAATCTATGCTGGTTTACTTTGGGTCACACCCTTGTGAACCCAGGGCGCTCAGTATGAAAATAACCTTGGTGAGTTGTGCAAGTTAAAGACAAAGAACTACATTTGAAGATATATTCGCTTGCTATTTTTAAATCAGTAGTACTGTTGCTGAATGATACTAGGTTTGTATCGAATAGGATGAATGCTTTTGAAGTATTAGGGCTTCAAAGTCCAATTTTTGCTTATTTATGGCATATTAATACATCTTTTTTCTTGAAATTGTAATTTGTACTTTTCAAATAATCTACTTCATTAAATGTAAAGAAGTTAAACTTTGTGTTGATTGATTATAAAATCACCATCAAATCAGAATTGCCCGTTTGTATTTTGTAGAGGAAAACAAATGTCGGCCGGGTGTAGTGGCTCCCCTCTGTAATCCCAGCACTCTGGGAGGCTGAGGGGGGCAGATCACGAGGTCAGGAGATTAAGACCATCCAGTATAACATGGTGCAACCCCATTTCTACTAAAAATGCAAAAAATTAGCTGGGCGTGGTGGCATGCACCTGTAGTCTTAACTACTTAGGAGGCTGAGCCAGGAGAATCACTTGAACCCAGGAGGTGGAGGTTGCAATGAGCTGAGATCGCGCCATTGCATTCCAGGCTGGGCGTCAGAGTGAGACTCTGTCTCAAAAAAAAAAAAGCAAGGCCGGGCGCGGTGGCTCAAGCCTGTAATCCCAGCACTTTGGGAGGCCGAGGCGGGTGGATCACGAGGTCAAGAGATCGAGACCATCCTGGTCAGCACGGTGAAACCCCGTCTCTACTAAAAATGCAAAAAATTAGCTGGGCATGGTGGCGCGTGCCTGTAATCCCAGCTACTCAGGAGGCTGAGGCAAGAGAATTGCCTGAACCCAGGAGGCGGAGGTTGTGGTGAGCCGAGATCGTGCCATTGCCCTCCAGCCTGGGTAACAAGAGCGAAACTCCGTCCCCCCAAGAAAAAAAAAAAAAAAAAAACAGATATTTGGGCCAGGTGCGGTGGCTCACACACCTGTAATCCCAGCACTTGGGAGGCCAAGGCGGGTGAATCACCTGATATAAGGAGTTTGAGACCAGTCTGGACAACATGGTGAAACCCCATTTAACTAAAAATACAAAAAATTAGCCCGGCATGGTGGCAGACACCTGTAATCCCAGCTACTCAGGAGGCTGAGCCAGGAGAATTGCTTGAACTCAGGAGGCGGAGATTGCAGTGAGCCAACATCATACCACTATACTCCAGCCTGGGCAACAAGAGCGAAACTCCATCGTAAAAAAAAAAAAAAAGTGGATATTTTGATTTGTGTGCTTCTTTTTTTTTTTTTTGGGGGGGGGACGGAGTTTCGCTCTTGTTACCCAGGCTGGAGTGCAATGGCGCGATCTCGGCTCACCGCAACCTCCGCCTCCTGGGTTCAGGCAATTCTCCTGCCTTAGCCTCCTGAGTAGCTGGGATTACAGGCACACGCCACCATGCCCGGCTAATTTTTTGTATTTTTAGTAGAGACGGGGTTTCACCGTGTTGACCAGGATGGTCTCGATCTCTTGACCTCGTGATCCACCCACCTCGGCCTCCCACAGTGCTGGGATTACAGGCTTGAGCCACCTCGCCCGGCCTTGTGTGCTTCTTTTTAATCACTGAAAGGTGGCTACAAAGAACAAATTTACATTAAAGAAGAGTCAATTTAGAGTGATCCCTTTGTTGGAGTAATATTAGCTGCTGTAACAAATAGACCTCAAAACCATAATGATACATTTTTCATTTATTATGTAAGGATTTCCCCATAGTTATGCAAGGACCCAGGTTCCTTTAATCGTGTAGCTCTGTCATCCTGTAGGACAAACTTTTCTTCCTGAGTTCACTAAAGGAATAAGCCTAAGGAAAATGGTTTGGGTGACTGTTTTCACATTCAGTGCATACAGTGGAGGAGGCCTTAGGGCAGTGGAGCTTTATTATCTCACTTGGAACCCTATTTGACAAGAGCTGTCCTAGGGCCTTGTGGTTATTTATAGCCATGTGCCAGATAATGAAGTTTAAGCACCATAAGATTATAATACCATATTTTTACTGTACCTTTGTGTTCAGATGTATTGAATTACACAAATACTTAGCATTATGTTCCAGTTGCCTACAGTATTCAGTATAGTACCATGGTGTACAGATTTGTAGCCTAGGAACAACAGGCTATACCGTATAGCCTAGGTGTGGAGCAGGGTGTACCATGTAGGTGTGTATACGTGCACTGTACAGTGTTCACATAATGACAAAATAGCCTAACAATGCATTTCTCAGACTGTCCCTGTGGTTAAGCAGAGCATGACCATATAGCTAAGCCCCTGTAGAAGAGAGTAAGAAGGAAACATGCCTCCTTCTTTTAAAAGTGTGGTGTGAAAGTAGCACACTATCATTTCCACTCACAATTCCATTGAGTTACATGACCACATCTGCAAGGGAGGCCGGGAGATGGAATCTAGCTGTGTGCCTGTGAGAACACTGGTATTTGTGCCAATGGGTAGCAGTCTCTTCCCTAGGAAAAATGTCACCCTAAGGTAGATTTCAGGATTGGTTTAATGAGTGAAACTTCAGTAGTTTTAATATCTTAATAGCATTCATAAGCAGTCTAGGGGAAGTGGAGCATTTCCCTGAGGTTGGTATACATTAATTTTACTGGTTTCAGTGTGGCCACTTAGGATCACCCCTCCTATATCTGAAATGTAAGCCTTATGGAATCCTAATTATGAGAATATGCTAATACTTTTCCATTTTCAACCTATAAATTCAGGAGATAATCCACAAATATTATTTTCAATAACCTCCAAAGTGGTAAAGTATCATCGTAAATCTGCCTCACATGGAGGTTGCAGTGAGCTGAGATCCTGCCACTGTACTCCAGCCTGGGTGACAGAGGGAGGCTCCATCTCCAAAACAAACAAACATACAGACATAAATCTGGCTCACAGAGTAGGAAACTGAAGCATAGATAACCTCCTTGTCGGATCACAGAGTTAGTGACCTCTGACCTGTCCAGTCACTCAAGATGAAACTTGAATCTCAGTGTTGACTTTTTTTTTCTATTTTAACCATAGTCTAAAATTAGACTATGGTTATTTACACCTTTGAGATTAAAATCTCTAGTTGGTGCTAGTTTTAAATTATATAATGCCTTTCATTTTTAGGGAGCCTAATAATCTCATCAAAGGTCACTCCATTGTTCTTTAGCCAAAAGACTTCCTTCTTAGACCTAAAAATACTCATGGCAAGGCTAGAAGTAGTCGACCTGCAGCAAGACATCTTTAAGTTGTTCTTATTTATAGGTAATTTTCACAGTAATTTTATCCTGTTGATGTTGGCATCTATTTCACAGATGAGGCTCTGAGCTCTAAGAGTGTCCTGTACAGGGTCCCACAGCTGGGTAAGCCCTGGTGCAAAGGAGGTGTTGGAACCAAGTAGTCACGGCCTCTTCTACTCCAAACTTCCCAAGCAATTAAAGACTGGTTAAAGTGAAAACATTCATAAAACGTGCAACTACCTTTTTTTTTCCCCACTTAGAAGTCATCAGGTTCAGCTTAGGAGTGAAAAAAACTGCACAAGGAAAAATGAGTTTATCAGTAACTTCTCTATTTTGTTGCCATGTTTCTATCCTGATAGAATCTGAGTGCTTCTAGAAGCTACAGCAAAGCTGTATTTCACTGCTCAATTATATTGAAGCTTTAAGTGAACTCTGAGCTGTCATTTAAAAGCTGACTTTGAGGATTTTGGTATCTGAGAGAAAGCTTTCAGTATCACAATTCAGGTTCTGAGGATTTTTAAGAGTATAATTTTTATTATTTCCCACCATGACCACCTATCCAGTACCTCAAGGCTCCACTCACATGCTGTCTCCTTTAGGTGACCTTTCCTCTCCCAGGCCTACTCCTTAACCTTTTTAAATTAATTATCTAAATCTGAATCCCCTGTTAAGCAAGAATGGGGTCTGCATCTTAACCAGCTTCATCCTCGCCCCAGTGCTGAGCCAGTGCCTAGAGCACAGAATAGCATCTGCTGCTCTGCTTAGGATCGTCTGTCCTCAATACGCCTGTCAGTGGCTTCAGAAATCAAAGAACTAGGAACTTTATTATGCAACCTTAGAAGTGTTTTACAAGAATGATTTTCAACATTGTTGTTAATGTTTCAAATTATATAATTAGCAGCTACAGATCTGCCAATGCACAGTCCTGTTATTATAGAACTAAATTACCTCCAATTTCACTTGGAAACTCAAGTACAGTAAGACACACATTACAGCCTGGTGTTTCGCATTTTGCCTTTTTTCCATCTGGCCCCTGCCCACACTCTGTGCTCTAGCTTGAGAGTCATCTTTTGATCTGTACAGTACAGAATCTGCTTTTCCTAAAAGTGATGTCACATGGACAGTTCCCAAGTCATTTTTAAATTGTCTTTGTGGACTGATTTTGCATCCAGATCCTTAGGACACCCAGTTCCACGCAGGCTGGAGAGCCCTCCTCTGGCATCACTTCACTAGATCTTCTCTACCAAGGACCTTTTTAACAGCATTTACCTTCTTCATTGATTTAGTAGTGGTGAGTATGTCATGGTGTTGAAGAGATAATGTACCCCCAAACTTCTTAAAAAATACTGCCAGAACTTTGGGAGACCAAGGTGGGTGGGTCACTTGAGGTCATGAGTTTGAGACCAGCCTGGCCAACATGGCGAAACTCCATCTATACTGAAAGTACAAAAAGTACCCGGTGTGGTGGTAGGTGCCTGTAATCCCAGGATTGCTTGAACCTGAGGCAGAGGTTGCAGTGAGTTGAGATTATGCCACTGCACTCCAGCCTGTGCCACAGGGGGAGACTCCAATCTAAAAAAAAACAAATCCTGGTCTAGGAGAGGTAGCCCAAGCTTTGATTTTTTCTTTTTTTTTTTTTTTTTTTTGGTATTCTGTGGGGAAGAAACCCACATTAAGTGGAATTTGAGACGCAATCTTTAAACAGTAGACAAGTCAGGTTCAAAACTAACAGATTTTTTTCTCTTGGAAGCTTCATTTTCCACATCCTTAAAATTGAGGACTGATGTTATTTATAGGATACTTCTTACACATTTTTTCTTCCTATTCAAAGATCCAAATATGTTCACAAGTTTTGTTAAAATGTTCCTAATTTCCAATGGTTAACATACAAAGAGGAAGTAGTGAAGTAGTCTCTGTAAGGCTGTTCTCTCCCTGTCCGATGTTGGAGCTTAAAGCCCATAGGGCGGGTAGTCAGAAAAGATGTAGTTGGGGAGAACAAACTGTAACCCACAGGCATGGGCTGGAGCCCATGAGGACGCTAAAATCTGCCCGTTCTTGTTGCTTTTGACCTTGATGGTGTGGGCATCCTGCTGAAACTGAGGCCCCTCTCAGAGGAGCTAAAGGAAGATCCAGGGGAAGGTGGAGCGGTTGCAGGCCCAGGCACAGATGGGGTTCACACCAGCAAGGTGTATCAGCTACTCAAGGGCTGCTGCTGCATTTGGGCTCTGCAGATCTGGCACAGGAATTTGTGGCTCATCTTAACCTGAGACATTGGGAAGAGAGTTCTGGGAAATGTAGTTCAGTCTAGCCAAGTTGATACATGACAAAGCCACCAGTGGTTGTCACAGGATGGTGGGATTTCAGGTGATCTTTACATTTTTACATGTTATTACCTCACAATGAGCATGCCTTATTTATATAATCTGAAAAAACAGAAAGCTTTTTTTTTTTTTTTGAGATGGAATCTCGCTTTGTCACCCAGGCTGGAGTGCAGTGGCGCGATCTCAGCTCACTGCAACCTCCGTCTCCCAGGTTCGAGTGGTTCTCCTGCCTTACCCTCCCAAGTACCTGGGATTATAGGCACACCTGACCACATCCAGCTAATTTTTGTAGTTTTAGTAGAGATAGGGTTTCACCATGTTGGCCAGGTTGGTCTCCACCTCCTGACCTCAGGTAATCCGCCAGCCTTGGGGCCTCCCAAAGTGGTGGGATCACAGGCATAAGCCACCACACCCAGTCCATAAAGCTATTTTCTTTGGGGAAAAAAATGGGAGTTATAAAATTGGAGACTATTAGGAATAAAGAGAGAAACCATATCTTTTATAGATGAACTTCATAACTTTTATCTGAAAGAGGTATAAAAAAGATGCCCATGTTCTAATTCTTCTTTTGCCACCTAACAGTTGTTGACATTGGCCCCAGGCCCTAAAAAGTAATCAAGATGCAGAACAAAGTAGTATAAGGAAAATAAGCTGCCCTATCACTGTGTATGTTCAGTGCACAAACACAATGTGTGAGTTACACTATCCTTCACAGTCTACGAGGTGCTGCTGTAGATGATGTAACTTACAGCAGCATCAGAGTTGGACTTGTAGGGATTCTCTCCCCTCAGACACCCAAGTCCCTTTTGTAGTGTATAAAAGATTGTGTGTTGACAGTTCATAAACACGTTGAGATAAAGGAGGCACTAATAAGCACATTTTTAACATTTGTGAGGTATTCTAAGATTTAGGCTTGGCTTTCCAGAATTGGAAAATTAGCCTTGGATGGTACCTACAGCCATGAGTCTCAAACTGTTTTCCAAGCTTGGCATACATGACAGTTTCACCTACCCAGCACTTTTCCCTGGGTCTTCCTGGAGTTATGCCACTGACACCCTTTCCCCCCAACTCTTGAAAACATATCAGAAGGCAAGTGAGTGAGATGACCTTCAGACAGCTGGAATATAGAAAAGGCAAGCTGTGACATTAACCATTAGTAACAAAGTATTTGCAATCCCACTTGAGTGTTGTTATGCTGTGGTTAAAAAATTGTGGTCTCCAGCCTGGCCAACATGGTGAAACACTGTCTCTACTAAAAATATTAAAAAATCAGCTGGGTGTGGTGGTGGGCGCCTGTAATCCCAGCTACTCAGGAGACTGAGGCAGGAGAATTGCTTGAACCCAGGAGGCAGAGGTTGCAGTGAGCCGAGATCTTGCCACCGTACTCCAGCTTGGGCCACAGAGTGAGACTTTGTCTCCAAAACAGTATCGTGTAAAATGGTTCATTACCATATGCAGAGAGGAAGACAAGGTAAGAACTAGTTTTGGACATTTCTTTTTATCTCATCATTTAAAAATTAGTGTTTTATAACAGTACAATTATAGAACTAATATTACATGCGTAAAGTATATAAATATCCATATCAAGGGCATACCTGCTAAAACATTTCTTAACTGGCTGGGGTGCATAATTAAACCTTTTTGAAACTAAACCTAAAAGACAAAGCAAAACTCATTTTCACTTAAATGCAAACTTCAGAAAAGAATGAATACCCAAAGTTTTAGGAGACGAAAGAGAAGAGTGGTTAAGAAGTTTAAAGGCCCAATGCTTTTTCTATTAATTAGTAAAACCCACACTAGAAGCTACTGCAAAAGCTAAAAATAAATGTAAAAAAAGAGGAAACAGGGGACTGTATTAGGATGGAATGAGAACAGCATCTTTCATCCACCCAGGCATACCCACACAGGTAGTTATGATATAACTCTCTGGAACATTTCAAGAAAAAAAATTAACAAGATGCACAGCCTCTTGGCATTCTGATATGGCTTTTTAGCATTCAGTCTCTTAAAATAAAAAGCAATTAGTTACATAGTTGACCCTACAGTATTTAGAAAACAGAAGCAACATGTGAGGCTAGAATCATTTACTTATATACACAGGCCACAACTCTAAGATGGAAAGGCAGTGGGCACTTGGAAGTGACCACACATGGCAATAAGCAGCCTATCGTCTTTACCAACCAGAAGTTTCTTGGGGCATGTGGTGGTAGCCCAGACCCTTTCCAAGGGAGTAATACTACACATCATCTAAGCCTACAATGTCCTGTGAGTGTCATGGTGGAACAAGGCCACAGGCAGTGGGAGAAAATGTGATGACTCACTGTGTCAGAATTCGAAGGCCCAGCACGATCAGGATGTAAGGCTCTGTAATTTTCTAAACCAGCATGATTGAGAAGAACAAAATCTGCTATCATTTATGAGTTTTTCTAAAAAAACCAAAACAATGGAAACAGGGATGAATCTTAAAGACCTTATGCTAAGTGAAATAAAGTCACAAAAGGACAAATACTGTATGGTTCCACTGATATGAGAAATACGAGTAGTCAAGTTGATGATAGAGACAAAAACTAGAATGGCTGTTGCTAGGGGAAGGCGGGGCTGTGGAGTTATTGTTCAATGGGCACAGAGTTTGGGAAGATGGAAAAGTTCTGGAAATGGATGATGGCGATGGCTGGACAACAATGAGATTGTACTTAATCCACTGAAATTACATATTTGAAAATGGGTAAGCTGGTCAATTTTAGTTACAAATATTTTACCACAATAAAAAAAAAAATTGAAGTTAAAAATTCACTGAAGTCAGGACTCAGTGTTGAAAAAAAAGCCAACTTTTTTTTAATCAAGAGATAAGTTTGTAGCTCCAAGCTCAAGGTCTAGGTTGAGGACAATCATTATGAGTCCTAGTAAAGGACAACCAGTTTTAAGAACATTGTCAGGCAAGCTACCATGTAGCTCTCCTTCACTCCATGCTTAGCTCTTCCAGACTTCCCAGTACTGATGAAGGGTCACATTTTTGTTTAGCTTTGCCCAGTGCTGTCATTCATAATAGATGAATGAAAAGTCCCAGAAACCTGTTCTGTTTGGAAAGGTTTTCTTTTGTTCCA